TGCGGCTGCGATCATTCCGGACGCGATGGGTTCCTCCTCTGTGTTCTGCAACGAGCGGTTGTGTCCCAATGAAAGGTACCTGTGTGTGCGGTGGATGCGGCTGCGGTCGTTCCGGACGCGATGGGTTCCTCCTCTGTGTTCTGCAACGAGTGGTTGTGCCTGTGTGCGTAGTTCTATGCGTTTCTTGAAAATCTGTGGTTGCAGATCGCATTGGAATGGCTGCGTCAAGGTTGCTGGGCGCCGCGGCTGCATGCGTAATACTATTGTCTTTTGCAGCTGGATCTCGTAAATAGTATTGGAGTGGCTGTATGAAGGCTGCGACAGTGGTTTGTCAGCAGATTTTTTCAATTTTTGCGCTAGCAATTTTCCTTTTAAAAGTCCTTTTAAATAGTGTTTCAAAATCGTCTTTTTTTGGGCTTTGGCGTCGAGACCCGGTTTTGGAGCTGCAATTCCTGTTGTGATTATGTACAAGAAAGCTTCTCTGTCTAAAAACTTGCTGTATGTAAAAGTGTAAAAACTTCTCTGTGTGTAAAAGCTTGTTGTGTGTAAAAGCTTCTCTGTGTCTAAAAGCTTCTCTGTTTAAAAAGCTTGCTGCGTGTGTAAAGGCTTGCCATGTGCAAAAGCACTGTGTGGAAGTGTTCTGTGTGTAAACGCTTGCTGTGTGTGAAAGCTTGCTGTGTGTAAAAGCTTCTCTGTGTAAAAGCTTGTTGTGTGTAAAAGCTTCTGTGTGTGAAAAGAAAAGCTTCTCCGCGAAAGAACTTGCTGTGTGTCAAAGCTTTCTTTGTGCAAGTTTGTTTAAAAAGCTTGCTGTGTACAAGCTTCTCTGCGAAAGAACTTGCTGTTTGTAAAAGCTTTCTTTGCGCCAACTTTGTATCACAAAGTAGTACTGGAACGTGCTTTGTGCAAGCTTTGTCGTTCAAAGTAGTACCGGGAAGTACTTTTTGCAAGGTTTGTAGTACAAAGTATTGCTGGGAAGTGGTTTGTGAAAGCTTTGTGGTACAAACTAGTACTGGGAAGTAGTTTGTGAAAGCCTTGCAGTACAAAGTAGCGCTTTGTGCAAGCTTTGTAGTACAAAGTAGTACTGGGAAGCGCTTTGTGCAAGCTTTGTAGTACAAAGTAGTACTGGAATGTGCTTTGTGCAAGCTTTGTAGTACAAACTAGTACTAGGAAGTATTTTGTGCGAGCTTTGTAGTACAAAGTAGTACTGGGAAGTGCTTTATGGAAGCTGTGTAGTACAAAGTAGTACTGGGAAGTGCTTTGTGCAAGCTTTGCGGTACAAAGTAGTACTGGGAAGTGCTTTGTGCAAGCTTTGTGGTACAAAGCAGTACTTGGAAGTGCTTTGTGCAAGCTTTGTAGTACAAAGTAGTACTGGGAAGTAGTTTGTGCAAGCTTTGTAGTACAAAGTATTACTGGGAACGACTTTGTGCAAGCTTTGTAGTACAAAGTAGTACTGGGAAGTGCTTTGTGCAAGCTTTTTCGAAGGAAGTTTAGAAGTGAAACTTCCGACAATATGGACAGTTGAAAAGCAGAGGTGAGAAGAGTCAGAAGAGAAAAGATCAGAAGAAAGAAGATGCAGGTGCGCGAAAAGGTAGGAACGTCGTGAAACACTGAAAGTCGCAAAAGACTGTGTTTTCCCAATGATTTGGGGCTCCGGAGGGTCGAAAAGTAGGCTCGCTAAAGCGGCGGGTGCGGAGCCAGCTGGCCAGAGGAGAGATGAAAAATTGCACGCCGTTGTGGCGCGAAGCACATTTCCAAGTCAAAATGTACAAAACACACCATTGTCGGACCACTTTTGGAAGTTGAGATGTCGAAAAAGTGCACGCCGTTGCGGCTCGAAGCACATTTCCAAGTCAAAATGTACAAAACACACCATTGTCGGACCACTTTTGGAAGTTGAGATGTCGAAAAAGTGCACGCCGTTGTGGCGCGATGCACATTTCCAAGTCAAAATGTACAAACCACACCATTCTCGGACCACTTTTGGAAGTTGAGATGCCGAAAAAGTACGTGCCGTTGTGGCGCGAAGCACATTTCGAAGTCAAAAGTGTAAGAAACTGAGGGTTTTGAGCCTTTTTTGACGTTAAGTGGTCGAAAAAGTAGACACTGATTAACTTAACTAACTTGACTAACTTAACTAACTTCACTAACTTAACTACCCTAACTTCGACGACAACAGCAACAGCAACAACAACAACAACAACACCAACCACAACAACTACAACTACAACAACTACAACTACAACTACACAACTACAACTACAAATAGGACTACAACTACAACAACTACAGCTACAACTACGACAACTACAACTACAACAACAACGACAACAACAGCAACAACAACAACAAACAACAACAACTACTACTACTACTACAACTACAACTACAACTACAACAACAACTACTACTACAACTACAACTACTACAACAACAACTACTACTACAACTACAACTACAACTACACAACAACTACAACTAGAACTACAACTACAACAACTACAGCTACAACAACAACAACAACAACCACAACCACAACAACAACTACAACTACAACTACAACTACAACGACACTACACAACAACTACAACTACAACAACAACTACAACTACAACAACTACAACTACAACTACACAACAACTACAACTACAAAACAACTACAGCTACAACTATATGACTGCAACTACACTACACTAATTACATTACACCACAACTACAACTCCACTACGCTACAACTACAACTACAGTTGCAGTACATCACAGTACATCCAGCAGTTGTGGGTGAGGTGACCACCGCAACCATTGCAACCACTCCAGCAAACACAATTCCAACCACCTTTCGGTCAATCAGTGGATTCGCTCTGCCAT